CTCGGACCGGCGGTTGGAGACCCCTGATTTAACCAGCAGCATTCTGTCATTATTAAATATCAAGGATTAAGTGGTGAACCTTTTTTTTGTTGTTGTTGAAAATCACACATTTCACTGCATCACCCTTCTCAAGTCAATGACACAAAATCATGTTACTGCACCTAAAACAACATTTTTGAATGTTTTTTTTCTTTTTAAGCGACTAAATATTATTGGCTTGCAAGAAGCTGTAACAAGAGGGGGAAAAATGGATTCTGTTGTGATATTTTCATGAAATGCATCCTCACGTACATTTTCAGACAAATGTCTGCAAATGAACAAACCTTCAAATATGGTTCTTGTCCATATGGAGAACGGAAATGGCAGAAAGCTTGACAAGTAAATGTACTTTTACAAATACATGTTGCGAGCTTGCGTTCGGGTCATTGAGAACCAGTTAGGTTCTTCCCTTGATCTCTTTTTGTGCTGATTGAGTACAATAATCTCAGATAAATTTTTTTATGATAGGCTGAAAATTAAACTTCGCCTCCACTGTGATGACAAAAACGGTGCACTTGAAATATACTTGAAATGCAGTTCATCTATGAAATAGTTATTGCTAAATATATATATAAAAAATGTCAAACTTGTCTTTTTTTTTTTTTTTAATTAGACGAAAAATGCCTGGAAGTTCCCCGGCGGGTTGTCGGATCCCGGCGAGAATATTGGTGAGTGACAAGTTGGCACAAGCACAAGGTGTGTCGAAATTGGTAAGCTGCGTCCTTCGAAGGCTCCTCCTGATGTCGCCACCATGGGCCGCATAAACCGTCGCCAATTTGGACAGGCTGAGTGCCTCTCACTTGACTCTCTTCTGTACCGCCGCAAGAGACGGCGATGCGCTTGGCTGAGAGAAGAGATGCCCCAAAGCAGCCTTCACTCGGGACCCGTCTCCATGGGAACAAAGGCCAGATTTGAAGGCTAGACTGGAAGGCCGCTTGAATTTGGACACTCGCGTGAGGTTGAGGTGCATGGAAGTTACACCATGATGCCTTCAAATTCAGCCTCTGAAGGACACAGCCTACCAATTTGGACACAGAAACAGTGCCATCTTAATGGAGTTCAAACCTTTCGTCGTCAGTGGTTGTCAGACCCCCAAAATTTGAGAATCTGTGATTCACTGCACATGAATTTGAAGTGCACACAAAGAGAGAAAAGCAGCTTTACTATCGTTGTCGGTACTTCACGTTAATCCGCAACACCGAATCCTTCCCAGGAGTGACAGCGGTGCGCGAAGTCTTGGAAGAAACGGGGATCCGGTCCGAGTTCCGATCTCTACTGAGCATCCGTCAGCAGCACAACCACCCGGGCGCCTTCGGCATGTCCGACATATACGTCATCTGCCGCCTCAGACCGCTCAGCTACGACATCCATTTCTGCACACGCGAGTGCGAGCGCTGTGAGTGGCTGAGCCTTGCCGAGCTGGCGCGTACCGCCGACACCACGCCCATCACGTCTCGGGTGGCCAGGCTGCTGCTGCACGGGCTGGAGCGCGGGTTCGAGAGCATCGACCTCGCCATGGAGGAGCTGCCCGCCGTCTACTCTGGGATGTTTTACCAGCTCTACCATCGACAGATTCCTTCATCTTAGCTATAACAAACAATGCAAGGACCTGGCCTGGCTCCAGTGTTCTTGGGGAGCACTCTCTCCTATTTATGACTGGACCACTACTACCTACTACACATACTGTTTTTCAGTGGGTTTTATTTTTGAGAAGATAACAGACTGGGAACAGTGCATTTGACAACCAGCCGTGACCTCAGCTTTCCACCAAACAGCCCAATCCCACTGTCGTCCCAACTTGGCAAACACCTATGACTATCCTCTGCGTTTGTATTTTACCATCAAAATGACAGTCAGTCGAAATGCTGATTCCACTAAACCAAGAATTTAGATAATCGGATGATGGGTTGCACAGAAATTGAGTTTTTATTGTTGGGGAAAAATGGCCTATGTCGCCTCTCCATAAAGCAGGTCCAAAAAAACAATTTTAAATTTGAGTGAAACAGGATAACTTCCTTATTTCCCAGCATCTCATTGACCCTTAAGCTTTGTCTACTATTTGGGGGAAGCCTTCTCTAATTGGCTGATAAGTTTCAGTTCAGATATCTACCAATAACACAGGCCGAAATTCCGGGGGCTCTCCAAGTTGATTGCAAGATGCAATAAAGTCTATGAAACCGATTCTGCCACTTATCAACCTTTCAATTTGAACCAACAAAAACCTCAATATGCATAGTCAGGAAGACAAATACATGTATGACAATTACAAGTTGAAAAAGAAGGCGACACGTGTGCCTGAATGTAAAGAAATTATTTTTAGAGTCCGCAAAGACTTTTGCTAGCTGTCATCTTTTCAAGATGAGCGAAAAAAACCCTGGCTAGCCTTCTTGAACATTTGAAGTATCATTACAAAGGCACCACATTTGGAAACAATTCCAATAAAATTGTGAATTGTGTTTGATTCACAAAAAATATGGACAAAAAAAAAAGCATAGTCTCTATCTCCGACGGTCAATGTTCATGTCTCCAAGAAACTTGGATCTTGAATGTACGGTCAAATTTGCCAAGTTGGGACGAGGAAGTTTTACCTCTGTGCCTCACAAGTTCATATCCTTAGCTTTGAATGTTGCGTTATTACAAACGGGCTGACTTGCCAAAGCTAACTACAGCATCTCCATCGTCTTTGATTGACGTCGGGCTACACTGAACCTCTTTCACGTCACTTGTCTTGCATTGGTTTTCATTCTGCTCCAATGCGGCACAAATGCAATAAGATGCCTCGGGAAGATGCATCGGAAAGTGAAACACAGGCTTGAGGTTTCATTTAAAGTGTTTGAAATGCCCCCCGACCCCCAGCCCCCCCCATTCTGCTCCAATGCGGCACAAATGCAATAAGATGCCTCGGGAAGATGCATCGGAAAGTGAAACACAGGCTTGAGGTTTCATTTAAAGTGTTTGAAATGCCCCCCGCCCCCCACCCCCCCCCCCTTTTTTTTTTTTTGGCAACGTCTTTCTCCAAGACACCTTGTGTTGAAAGGCTTAATCTGAAAGAAAATCCTATGATGTAAAGTATAATCCCAAATCCTCTTCAGCAAGCCATCTAGTTCTCTTCACGCTCTTAGGATTGATGGGAAAAAAAATATACAAATATAAATCAAGGTGTGTCGGAATAATAAGACGTAACAGTTGTAAAATGATCACAGCAACTTCTTTCGGACAGTGGCGACATAGCTTCACTGCCATCACACCATAAGACATAAAAATGACTGTAATTTGTCCCATCTTAGCTCTTGGCAGACATCGGGAGGAAGAGGATGGCTTTCTGACCCGGTCCAGTTTTGCTTCCAGATTTGTACTGGCCGGTCCGCTTCAGCGCCACATACATGCCGGGGTACTTCCTGGAGCGGTACGTGTTGTAGTTGTTGCTCTCCAGCCGCTCCAAAAAATAACATTCCTCGGTCGCTCGTCTCTGAGGACGAAGACAGAGAGGTATTACAATGCCCATCCGTTTTCTGCGTATTTTACCCTGACTTCAGGGGAAATGACTGGTCATCAGTCATTCACAGGGCAAATATAGAGAGACAGACAATTGTTTCCGCACCATAAAACCCAGCAGTCAAAGGACTGAATTACAACAATTGATAGTACTGGTAATACACTGCAGACTGACGGTTTACCATTCAGTTATGTTGAAGTGAACTGAGGACTGTACTGTAATACCCCGGGAAAGGGGTAGAATTTTACTACGAATATCATAAAAATGTGAGCATTGACCCCAAAAAAGTTTATATTTGCTTGTATTAACCCTTTCATGCATCCTGTAACCTGATAACACGATAAGCTTTCCACTGTAGTAAGCTCCGTGCCTGAAAGGGTTAATAGGTAAAACCATAAATATACCACAAAGTGTGATCCTAAAACAAGTTTAACATTATGTCAAAGTAATCATACATTATCTTGAAAAAAACCTAATAATAATTGATAAATAATACATGGATTAAAAAATAAATGCACCCAAAGTGCACGTGTCCAATGAATCGTATTTAACTTTCACACACAGCCTGAGCTAAACTTGTTTTTTTTTTTTCCAAGATGGCACCCGAGTAGGCAGCCGTCGGCAAGTGCACTTCAAGAGCCTTGCTTTTTTGTTGTTTTTGTGTTTTGTCACATGGTGTTTGTTGTTACGTGTGAACCTGATGTAGATTGTTTTCAGCATTATTTGGCCACGACATTTGTCAAAGGAGAAAAATCTGTGCTTGGAGGTTGCGCCTTCTCGGCAGCACGCGTGTACCAGCACTGATTTTGATTGGGAGGAATGTTGGCGCCATCTGACTGTCATTGCTAGACAGCCCCGGTGGCTTGCGTTTTTTGCGCCTGAAATGGGCAGCATTTTTCACAGCCCCGCTTTGTTCAGCGGGAATGTCGGTAATGTTGGACAGTCTGTGGCTGGCTTGATGGATGGATGGCTTGTGGAACCGACGATGAGAAGAAACGAGTGTCAGCGCAGAGCGACGATGCGTATGTGGAACTGGGAGTCGCGGCTTGGAATTGAAGCGGATTTACATGGGACAGGAGATGTTAGCCAATCTCGCTTCTTGTTTGCTTTCAAACTTAGCTTGTAGCAGACGTGTGCACGTTTTCAGCATGACGGCTTTGATCCACTGGTGAAAGTACACTTTGATTCGCTCCTCTTTCATCTAGAACTGCTTCAAAGAACAAAGCGTCTGCAGAAAAGTGGTTGAAATTGCATGACTGTCTGTGTCTTATGTGTTGTGTTGTATTATTTTGTCATTTTATGTTAACTGTTCTGTTGATAGCGGCGCGGGTACCCGCAGTGGCTCCTCTCTCTCCTGTGGTTGCACTGTGGTTGAGAGGAAAGAAATTTCATCTGTGCTGTATGTTTCACATAGAGCATATTTGGCAATAAAGTTGACTTGACAAAGAAAACTTGTTTCTCCATGGAGATGTATCACTTTGACATGCTAAATAATGTGTAAACATGATCTGCGAATATTAAGGGATTCCACTCTATTGCAAACCTGCAACGTCATTCTTTTTTCTGAATAAACTCATTTCCCCATTTCCCCTTTGTTTCAGTTCTGCACAATAGGACATTCCAGTGTCTCAAAATCTCTATCATCCCAATTTTCAAACATTGTTGCCTATTGACTGAACTGTGAATAGTGCCTTACAACCGAAAGAGTTGAAAACTTATGCTCGAGCGATATTTTGAATTGTGGTGAAAATGTGCAGTAATTATGACAGAAACTAGCGCAGGCTTTCTAAAGATGTTCAATACCAGCAACGAGATATTTCATTTGAACTACTCACCCTGGCATGTAAATGGGGCTTGGCTAGCAAATTTCATAAAACCTGTGTCAAGTAATTCAAACTGCTCTATTTATGATAGAAGCCAGCCAACCGGACAATCCACAGTTAAAGAAATAACCGGCGTGACAAAAGACAGCAGGCGTGGTCCACTCACCGCTCCAAACAGTCGTCCGTCTCTGTTCATGGCCAGGTAGCGGTTGGCACAAACGCCCTTGATGACCACCTCGCCGACCGATGTGGCCTGCAGCTGAAGCGTAACTGGGGGTGAACAGACAAAAATGTCTTTGGCACAGACTGCAAATGTCAAGGAAAGCACATGACGCTCGGGACTCGAGACACATGCGATGAGAAACCAATTTAAAAGGTTTCCTAGAGCAGCGGTCACCAAACTTTTTTGCCCCATGGACCGGTTTAATGTCAGACAATATCTTCAGGGACCGGCCTGATAAATACAACGGCCAGATAAATACAACAAAATAATATGATATGACCTGCATGAAACCTGTGGTGTTTTCTAAACATAATAATAAACACGAATCATGACACGAGGAACGTCCTATCTGGCCGCAACGCTCTGTGGTCACTACGGTAACGTTTAAACAAGCCTTCAAAATAAGATACAAAGTGCATGAAAAATACGTCTCACCAAACGCAGACTGCAGAGTGGGCTTGGTGCGTGTGAATCTCCCGTTGAGATAAATCCCTCTTTTAAGTAGGAGTCCTGATACTGTCTATTAAATGTAGAGCTGTCAAATTATCGCGTTAATTGCGATTAATTACAGAACAATTACTGCGTTTTTATTTTTTAATCGTTTTAATCTAGATTTTAATCTCTACCTTTATTGTTTCTGTAGGTGGGTTGCCTTTTTCTAATAGCCCTTTTTATGTGTTGGCGTCCTGTGTTCGAGTTGTTGAGGGTGGAGAAACAACTGTCAGTCACAGCCTGAAGCGGACATTAATTGGCCGCCATTATGTTGGGACTAGTTTAGCCGAAGCTGATAGGCTCCCATTGGAGTTGGGTGGGTTTAGTGAGCAGCGGTGAGGAGTGGAGAGGTGAAAATGGAGCAGGATGTGAGAGTTCTTGGCATAATGAACGGAAAATGTACATTCCAAAAATGCCTTGATGACACAATTGATAAAGGAAGAGTGTTGTGCCTAATTTGTAAGAAGTGTGCGTACCACCGAAGCAGCTCAAATTTAGCCTCCCACATCAATGCAAAGCACCCAGTCGCGAGTGCAGCCCCAGCTAACGTTAGCACCGAAAGTGTTAGCAATATAGCGAGCGAGCTATTCAAAGCTCTTTGGCAAATTAAACTCGAGAACACCCCACATACGCGGCATAGTTAATGTCTCCTCTGTAGACTACTAGAAGTGATTGATTTTTATTTCAACACTTTTAGTTTGTCATGATGAACAATGTTATTTCTGAAGTGCTAACTTACAGAACTGTGATTTAAGGGTCTGTTTTATTGTTTATTATCTGAAGCAAGTACTTGTATTGCTCAGAAAATTGTTCTTACTGTTATTGATATGTTAACCTAAGCACTTTCTAAGGACCTGATGTTCTATTTTATTTTTATTTTGTAATTCTTTGGAGATTTACAAAAACAAATAAAACAGTGATATTCCCCCTCGTGGTCGAAACTAAAGGTTGCAGGTAGGACTTTGACTAGTCTCAAATACAGCAGAAAATAAATGGCTAGGACTGCATCTGTCAAAGTCTGCTGAAAAACAATAAAATACTTTATAATGCCACTTTTTTGTTTATCTTTTGAGCTGCCTCAATAATGTAACGAATTTAAAATAAAAATAGGGGTTTTCTCAGTAATTTTTAGATGAGATTAAAATATAGATTAATTAGATTAATTAATTACAGATCCTAATTAATTAATCGCACTTTTTTTTTTAAATCACGTGACAGCACTAATTAAATGGAGCCTTCTTTTTCTTGAAAGTCGTAGGCTCCTCTTCTGTCTCCGGGCTGGGCCTTTCCCCTTCCCAAAGAAACTTTCCAAAGACGTTTGTTTTTTACTCATTTTGTTAGCTCCTGGATTTCATTTTCACGGGAACATATCACGTGACCAAGAAGCGTGCCTTTACCTGAGTCAAGACTGCACACGAATGTAACAGAGAATCCGGTAATTTTTTCAAAATAAAACATCTTTCAGATTCCAAAATGAATAAAACGGAAGTAATGTAAGTTATTTAGTCTTTCTGTGCAGCCCGGTACCAAATGACCCACAGACCGGTACCGGTTCGCGGTCCAGGGGTTGGGGACCTTTGTCCTAGACTGTTTTTAAGCTGTTAGGTCTTGTTTTTTGAACCAGGATGAGATCACAAGAATGTGGCAGACCACAGAATACTTAAAGAAATTGTGTCTGTGGTTGGGTTTTTACAAAATTTGGCATTCTGTTTTCATGTCCATCTTAATTTTTTGTGGTTGACTGCAGGGAAATCAAGACATTTACCCTCCAAAATTTCAGCGTAAGCATCCAACAAAGGTTTGAAGAGAGAGAACTTTGACCAGACCAGGTACCTGCATCGGTAAATTCGAACCCCAGACCAGGTGCCTTCACACCCGCATCGGTAAACCTGCTTAGTATGATTAATAAATGTGTGTGTGTGTGTGTGTGTGTGTATACACATATACACACATATATTTATTTATTTATTTATTTATTTATTTATTTGCCCGGGAAGCTGTGGTCAGGACTCAAGGATGTGGTCTCTAAGTCACTGGAGCAATTAAGTTCTGAGGTGAATGGCGTTCAACCAATCGCATGCCACCAAAAGTGCAACGCCCCCGTGACCCAAGAGTTACTTAGAGGAAACAGTTCCATAGTAATTTCCCTTAACTTTGTACAGCCACATACCCGTAGCATCAATGCACCAGGGAAATATAATCTCGGCATTAGTAAATGTTCTGTGATGTAATCCCGAAATTTGGCAGGTCTCTGATGCTTCAACAAAAGTACCATTGATGGGGCACTGCTATGATCCTATTGATGAGAAATAGCTCGACTCATTAGCTCCCCATGCTAGCAGTCCTTCGAAAACATCCGCTCGCCTGTGTACTCAGGTTTCTATTTCAAAGTGTTGTGACACCTTGTTATCGAAGGTCAATTTAATTGCCTTTGGGAGCTCCTCTCTTCCGGAACACCATCTAAATCAAGGTACTTGTTTTGGTGCCTGGCTCAGGAACAAAACATTTTCCAAACATTTTTGTTTTGCTGAGGCATTTGATGAGCGCCTCCCTGTCTCTCCTAATGTTGGCTGTTTAAAAATATTCAGCGTAGCGGACCAAACAAGGCCCGCTTATGCCTTGTAACTCAGGAGGACTGTGTAAACTGTGTTCTTTAGAAAGTGAAAGTGCCCTCATGTAGCTTCAATTTTTTTGGGGCCGCAGGCCTTAGTCATCAGGAAGTCGCCCCCACTGACTTTTTGTGTTGTGTTGTCTTGTGTGACGTCTGAAAATGTGAGTCAGCATGGCGAGCTCAATTTACTAAATACAGAAATGTTCCATTGATTCCAGAACACTTGACGTTGCATTCCCGGAACTTCACACCTTTGTATGAGCTAAGGGAGAAAATAAAGACAGCGGGGACTTACTGTGGGGATCGCTCTTCTCCCGGATTCCGTCCACTCCCCCATCTGATTTGATCCGCAAGAAGAAGCCCCCATTCTTACAGTATAGCCTTTTGGGTTCCTTGAAGGTTCCGGGCGGAAAGCCACCACTACCGTCTTCAGGCGTGGAGGGAAGCGTGGTGATATCTCCGGTGGCCATCTCCTCCTCCTCCTCCTCTCTCAGACGGCGACTGCTCCGACTCCTTCTGGAAGAGCCCCACGGTGGCCTCCCACTAACTTCCCTCCTCCCCCCTCCTCAGAGCTTCACACCGACTGGCTCGCAAAAGACCTCAGGGGTCAGTGTGAACAGGCTGGTGGCAAGGGCCTCAAGTGCCCTTTTGACAACTGAAATTCACAAACAGAAGGTTTCCACGGCGAGCTGGAAAAATGTCGGCAAATCCGCAATTTCCATGCGCTTGCCTTCTGTTTAGAGTGTTGTAGTTGAGGGGGTGGATGGTAGCCTCGCTCCCTGCACCCCCTCACCCTCTTTTTTCTTCTTCTTCTCGCCGCCTTCCTGTGTAGTAGTTTAATCAAAGCAGCTGCCTGAGATCTGAGTCCAAAGCTTTCCCCATTCGGGCCTCATTTCGCATGCGCCCTAAGAGCGCCGACGCATAGTAAAGCTCACGCCCACTAGCGCTCTGCGATTCGCAGACGTCAAGAAAGCGGAGCTGGGGGCAGAGGAGTGGTTCATCTTGGACCGTTTCACTGTGACCATTCAACCACGTGAACAGAACCAGTGTTTTCATTCAGCCGGGCTGCTCGAGCGGCAATCTGATTTCAGTGGTTCACGGTGTTCCGAACTTGTTGTGGAGTTCTTTGTGGAGTTTTTTGTTTTTTTATTTCCTTTCATTGGTTTGGGCTTCTGGGCAAATGTAACCACATCTGAAACCCATCCTGGATCAGTTGAATTCCAGATGGGCTCATTTTGGTGACAGATCTCCCGCCCGCCACAAACAAGCACCCAGTCAAACGTGCATGTGTGATGTGTAATCTACTTGAGCTCAGTGGCACAATATCAAGCTGTCTAAAAACAGACTCGGCAATACCAGACAAATCAATTAGAGATGGACTATTGTTGACATGCCACATTCCACATCAGTGCCTGGGAAGAGAATTAGTATCCCAGTGACTACCTCCCGGAGTTCACTTTGTGTATCTGTCAGAGATTTTCTCGGACAAAGTTAAAGAAATGACTCGGCACACAGGGAAAATTGTCTTCAATATCAGCGGGAGGGGATCTCTGAGAGCGAACGACGGTTTAGTTGCTCCGATGATCACACACTCAGAGTCCCGCCCTCCAAGAGTTCGACATTTTATTGTAACATATGCAAAATACAAGAAAACCACTGCCCCCGATATTTGCATGCCGCACCCCCGGTCCGGCCCCTCGGTGGTGATTGGTTACCTGTTTTTTAAACTTGAACCACCAGTACGTTGGCGCCTTTTCTGTCTGGTCTACATCGAATTAACATGTTGCAGACTTTGCGGATGGCCAATGTCGCCTGGGCGCGACGGGTGTTCTCAACTCGTCTTTTGTTGTTCAACCGCGGTTCCCAAATTATTCGTTCCCCTTTTGTGACCGAGCTTCGCCCTCTCCCCTGTGATCACCCACCTGCATTGACGTGCTAATTGTGGACTTCAACCGTCCTCCGGCCAGGTGGCCGGCACCTTTGTGTACAGGCATTTGGGGGTGCTGGATATGCACCCAAACGTTTAGATGTGCCCAAATTAAATGAAACTTTAAACATGATACAATTTTGCTCATAGATTCCTCTAACAGTATCGCTACAGAAAGTATTCCATAATATCCAAGCATTCGCGCACACGTTCACAACTCTAGACAATTTTAATCAATCCAGATTATCCGCAAATAGCACAGAGAGTCAAACTCCCCTGAAAGCAGATATTCAAACCCAGAACCTTTGACTTTGAGGCAGACATGGAAGCTGCTTTTGTCACCCACAATAAGATTCACAGCTGCCACTGGGGGGGAAAAGAGAAGTGTTCTATGTCTCCGGATTAACAAGTTATGTGTGCCTCAGGTGGCGGCAAAGATTTATGGTTTGCATCTGGTGGGTTTAAATACCCTCCATCTAGTCTCCTTAGGTGTCGCCTTTAAACCTTATTTTGGAACATGACAGTGGGCATCCTGTCCAAAACTCCCGTAACCAAGGGAATCCACAAGCAATCCCCGTAGCCAAAACATGTCGTCAGAGATTTTCTCGGACAAAGTTAAAGAAATGACTCGGCACACAGGGAAAATTGTCTTCAATATCAGCGGGAGGGGATCTCTGAGAGCGAACGACGGTTTAGTTGCTCCGATGATCACACACTCAGAGTCCCGCCCTCCAAGAGTTCGACATTTTATTGTAACATATGCAAAATACAAGAAAACCACTGCCCCCGATATTTGCATGCCGCACCCCCGGTCCGGCCCCTCGGTGGTGATTGGTTACCTGTTTTTTAAACTTGAACCACCAGTACGTTGGCGCCTTTTCTGTCTGGTCTACATCGAATTAACATGTTGCAGACTTTGCGGACGACAAATGTCGCCTGGGCGCGACGGGTGTTCTCAACTCGTCTTTTGTTGTTCAACCGCTGTTCCCAAATTATTCATTCCCCTTTTGTGACCGAGTTTCGCCCCCTCCCCTGTGATTGCCCACCTGCATTGACGTGCTAATTGTGGACTTCAACCGTCCTCCGGCCAGGTGGCCGGCACCTTTGTGTACAGGCATTTGGGGGTGCTGGATATGCACCCAAACGTTTAGATGTGCCCAAATTAAATGAAACTTTAAACATGATACAATTTTGCTCATAGATTCCTCTAACAGTATCGCTACAGAAAGTATTCCATAATATCCAAGCATTCGCGCACACGTTCACAACTCTAGACAATTTTAATCAATCCAGATTATCCGCAAATAGCACAGAGAGTCAAACTCCCCTGAAAGCAGATATTCAAACCCAGAACCTTTGACTTTGAGGCAGACATGGAAGCTGCTTTTGTCACCCACAATAAGATTCACAGCTGCCACTGGGGGGGAAAAGAGAAGTGTTCTATGTCTCCGGATTAACAAGTTATGTGTGCCTCAGGTGGCGGCAAAGATTTATGGTTTGCATCTGGTGGGTTTAAATACCCTCCATCTAGTCTCCTTAGGTGTCGCCTTTAAACCTTATTTTGGAACATGACAGTGGGCATCCTGTCCAAAACTCCCGTAACCAAGGGAATCCACAAGCAATCCCCGTAGCCAAAACATGTCAAAATTCTGTCATTGATTCACGTTTATTGATGACCTCAATATCCTCATCCAATTTTCATTTGTTTTTGTTTTTTTCCAACTCCAAAACGAGTCGTTACGACGTCTGCCTCACATTTAGGTTCTGGATTTGAGCATCAGCTCAAGGTTTCCTGTGTGGAACTTGCATGTTGTCCCCCTACTATCGTGGATTTCTAAGCGTACTGTGGATTCCTCTCACAATCCAGAAACTTAAACTTTAGGTACACTTAATTGTCCACAAGTGTGAATGCTTGCTGACCAGTCCAGGATGTGCCACCGTCGGCTGGGATCGGCTCCAGGTCACTGATCGACGGATGTATGGATGGATGGATGGAATGCTTCCTTCTCAACAACCATTCCCGATCTTGATGTGTCGGCAAATTTCCTCAACTAGCCATCTGGTCTCCCCCATGTGGTAAACATTGGTAGTACTATTTTAGACAGACGGAGGAAGATCCCCTTCGCTTCCATTCCCCAAATCTTGACACTATTTGAACATAACTATCACGTGTATCGCTAACATGTCATAGCAATTAGAAAGCAGCTTGTGAATTTGAATTTAGTTTTTCTTTATCCTCATAACATGACATCTTTTATTCTGAAAAAGACAGAAATTCACACCTTCACTTTTGATTTTTGTGATGATACGTCACAATCATCAAAGCTTGTGACGAATAATTGTCCCAAAGTTAAGGCAGGGGGAATGTGACGTTCTGTATTTTCCGAACAATAAATCACTCCCGAGTATAAATCGCCCCAGCCATAAACTGCATAATGAAGAAAAAAAACCACACACATTTAAGTCGCATTTTGGGGGGAAATGTATTTGATAAAATCCAACACCAACAAAAGACATGTCATCTTGAAAGGCAAATACAAATAAAAATAGAGAGCAACAGGCTGAACAAGTGTACGATATGCTAAAGTTACATGACGCATAAACAACGAACAGAGAACGTGCCTGGTATGTTATCGATAGCATAAAGAACACGCTTAGTCAGGTATCGATAGCATAAAGAACATGCTAACAAGTTTACCAAACAATCAGTGACACTCCTACTCACATCATCCAATGGAAGAAAGCTTCATCCTCGACGCTTCCTCTTCTACGTCACTTCAGTCAAGAGTCATCATCGTCAGTTGTTTTTAGAGAGTGACCGCCAATGTGGAAACTATTAACACGGGCCTCGAGCACTCTCTTGCGGTTCAATGTGAACATAACACGTGAAATGACAAAATGTGTTCATCATTTCACACATTAGTCGCAAAACGTGTTCATCATTTCACACATTAGTCGCTCAAGAGTATAAATCGCACCCCTGGCCAAACTATGAAAAAAAACCCTGCGATTTACAGTCTGGAAAATACATTCATTCAATTGCAAAACACCTAACTGAAAATCCAGAGAAGCCCAGTTTGAGAACTACTCATAAGATAAATTAAACATTTATTGTCTCACAATGCAGAAATTTGCAATGTACAGCAGCAAAGTTCGGAGGGAAGAAGTAGAAAAAGTAGAAAACAAGTATTTGCATGCAATAAATATATTTTTAAATGAACTGTACACAGTACAGAATGAAATATAAAAACACAAAATATAGGATATAAGCATATATGCAACTGTGTATGTGCTGCATAGGTGGCTGTGCTATTTACAATGGGTGAGTGGGGGAGAGTCCAGGTTTTCAGGTGCATTTATTCAGTAGCCTGACAGCAGTCGGCAGGAAAGAGCGGCGGTACCTCTCCTTGCAGCGCGGGTGTATCAGTCTCTGGCTGAAGGAGCTGCCGAGTGCAGTCAGGGTGGCCTGGAGGGGGTGAGAGGGTCTGTCCGCCATAGCTGTTAGCTTAGCTAGCATCCTCCTGTTGCCCACCTCCTCCAGAGTGTCCAGGGAGCAGCCCAGGACAGAGCTGGTCCTCCTGACCAGTTGTTCCAGTCTCTCTCTGTCCCGGGCTGAGATGCTGCCTGACCAGCAGACTCAGCCATAATGGATGGCTGAAGCCACCACAGAATCATAGAAGGTCAATCTAATACTTACATGCTCGTTCAAATGGTGTCCAGTCTACATTGCAAAAAAACAACAACACTTTTCTTCTTGCAGTCATAAAAACATGAGTCGTGCATGATTGCCATCCTTGCTTTCATCCACACCAGTGATGATCTCGGCATCCGTCTGCAAGACAAGCAAAACCAGATCCAAAGCTTTCCGCCATGACTCCTGCTTGACGCTAAGATTGTCAAAAACTTTGGACGGGGGAATGCCCTCATCAGAGTCCAAGATGAGTTGTGAGAAATCTGCAGAAATGCTGTTAACATCCTGTAGTTTCTGGTTGACCACAGCCCTGGCTTTGACTTGTGAAATCCCGGTGGAGTTGGCCATCACGGCAGCTAAGTATTCCGTAAAACTGTCCGCCAGGAGGTGCAGGATAATACCAAGGTAGGGGTTAGAACCACGAGTGCCATCTCCGGGATTCTCCGCATCCACTTTCTTCATCAGATAATGAATACAAAACAACTCTGTGACTCCAGCGCCAGGTAGCACCGCTTTGTCTTTCAGCGCATGGTGCACGCGATAGGCACAAGCCCAAAATCGGTCCTCCAGACTCTGCAGCTTCCCGTGTACGGGGCTGGTGATGATGGCCGTGACCAAACGGGTGCTCCCGCCGGCATCAAGGTTGATGGCGGTTAACGGCGTCCCCTCGTGGCTTCCGATTTCCCTCCACATGCTAACCTGGATACCCTTGCCAACGCAACGCTTACTCAACAGCGTGACGTACGTCACCAGAGTCGCTTGAGTAGCAGTGGCCATCTCTTTTAAAACGGACGCTCGAACTTTTCCAACTACCAGTATGTGACGCTGAGAACAGCGTTGAATCACTGCTGCGTTTACGAGCCCACTGACAAGCACCACGTCCACTTCTAAGTGTTGTAACAGTTCCAGGACCTTTCCCATCCACTCTTCCTCTTTGCTCAAATCGGACAGATTCGACTGGTTGCCGACACACTGGATGCCCGCGGGCCTGTTAAAACCGAGATGGCGATAGGAGTGGGATAAATCTCCGCTGATAAGAACGACATTCATGGATTTGTTCTTGAGGTCATGCGCCACAGAAGCCTGGTCTGGATTGAGAAGAATGATGCAGCCCGAACAAACGTGAGCCTCATCTTCTGGTAAACCTGGCAACACGCAAGTGGTCACTTTTGTCACGTCTAACACGGAATTCGGGATGACTTTCGCCTGGATGCGACTGGCTTCGATGACTAAACGCATTGCGTTGTTACAGCCGTGGCTCAGTCCGGCTGCCAGGTGTGCGACGTCAGAAAGACGAGGCTCCGGAACTAAAATAGTTTCAGGCTCGGTGTTGCAAAAATGGCGACTCAGCTTTAATTGCCTTTTTTCTTTGATGACTTTGGATTCTAATGGCGCCTCAGTGACTTGTTTCCGAGTCAACACACAAAGAGCATCGAATGACACGCTGCTTTTTTTGCAAACGTCCACGCACAAGTCCATCCCCTCAATCATGGCCGCAACAACACGGGATGTCGGAATCCCTTGCTGCAAGCACAATAACGCCGCCCGACTCCACGCTCCGGCGAAAAACAGCAGGCATCCGGCCCCCGTGCGATAAACCTCGTGGTGCACCCGAACTGTCTCGTGAACCAGCTGGCTGACAGCACAGGTGGCCAGGTCCAGGTTGTCCAGGATGCGCAAACACGAGCTGGCCAGAGTCGATTCCCCAGTAGCTTCATCCTGGATGAACTTGTACTTTTTACGGGGTCCCAACGTGGAATGTGCAACGGCGGCAATTGCAGACAGCTTCTGCAGTCCCACATGTTGTCGCTGGTTTATTGTCATGCTTCCCAGCATTACTACTCAGGCCTGAAAATAGAAAGACACATTACAAGCTTGAAATTTTTTTCCAGACAGAGTATTAGAAAAGAAAATATTACACTACAAGATTGTAATCATAATTCTGCATGAATTAAGATGTGTATTTTCAAGATTTTGATTCATTGTCTCAATTTAATTCATATCTTATTCTAATCTAAATCATAAAGTCAACAATATATTACTTTTACCTCAAAAATAGACAACTGTTCTCAACAGATTACAACTTTAATCTTGAAAATATTCCTGCTTCTCAAGCACACAACTTTATTCTCATCAAATTCCAACTTTCACCTCAAATATATCAGTTTCAACCAAAAATGATCTCTCTAATATTTGACTTTATTCATCTATTGTTATGACTTCTGATCATGAAAATATATTATAGCATATAGAAATCAATTACTTCACTCTGGTAAAATTACGAATTTAATCTTGAAAATGTTTAACTGGTTTTCCCAAAAACATATAACACATTTATTCTCATAAGATTGCAGATGTAATCAAAAAAAGTGTATGACTGTTTAATTTTTCTAAAATATGTAAAAAACAAACCAAAAAACTTTATTCTTGTCACACTGTGATGGTTTATCCCAAAAATTGAATTTGTCAAAAAGACGTCATTTGCACATGTATGACGTTACTCTCTTAAGCCTCCTGTTGTCCTCTGGTCAAAATGACCCGTCACTGTGTTAAAAACGCCCCAAAAATCCCCTAAATGATATTTTTTTAACTTGAAATTTTATGACTTTTCCTAGATTGACCCCAACTGCAGAAAAATTTAAATGTTGTTTTTATTCACATTTCCATGGAAGCTGTACAAAAAAAAGTACAAAGGTGGTCTTCGGGTCAAAATGACCCATGAGGCAAATAGAGTTGAAATAAAGGTCACAAAGTTATTTACACACCATAGAATGTTTCAATGTTTTAGTTGTGTCTCAGATCAATTAATAGAACACGTGAACAAGACAGTAGCAGACATAAACAAGTCAAGATAGGTGGCGTTCTCGCATATGGCAGAACTCTTTTTTTTGTGGATTTCAAGGGGTTATAAAGGTGCTACAGATGACAGGACTCCGAATTCTCTCTGTGCTGACGCCATGAGTGTGCGTGATGACATTGAAGAGGCTCTAGAGCTGATTTTTTCTGCTATCCAGCAAGACAACTGATTCAGAAGAGGAAGTGGGGGATGTATCAGAAGAAGATCGGGAGGAATATAACCCAGAGCATGATGAATCATCTTCAGAACACGAAGAAATCCCTGAAGCTGAAAGAGAGACTTTCCTTTCAAAAAATGGCAAAATAACATGGTGCTCAGCAGCATATAACCAACAAGGCAGGCATGCAGAACAAAACGTACAGGAGCTCCTGAGAAACCTGATGATCCACCTTCCACAGCCACTTCCCCAGCGAGGGCAAGTAAGAGGAAGAAATGCCAGTTCTGCCCTCAAAAGAAGGACTGTAAAACACATACTGTGTGCTATAGGTGAAAGAAATATATCTGCAAAGGCTGTGCACTTGCACACTGCGCTACATGTGCTAATTAGTTGAATGGGTTGTCTTATTTTTCATATTTTTGTCTTTATTGTATTGTCCTAAATAGTTCACTGGAGGAAAAAAAAGAAACTTTAGTCATTGGAATGAATACAAATGCATCCATAACTCATTTTCGCACATTTTTTTCCTTTTCTTAAGCTATAGAAATACAAGTAAAGAGGGAGAACTATTTCACACATAATGTGGTGAAGGACAAGTTGTTTCTTCAAGCAATATGAAATTTGGTGTTTAAAATTCAATTAAGCTGCTTATTTGGGGGGTTTAGTGAAGATGGGTCATTTTGATCCGGAGGACACAGGGTGTGTACAGAAAATGAGGACAACAGGAGGGTTAAAACTCCAACTTTAACCAAAACATTTTGGGGGGGTTTTCCCCCTCGAAAACATATGTATTTTCTCTTTACAATAAATAACTTCATGCACGCAACCCTGTCGCCATGACCTTTTTTAGCATGGTAGAAGAAGAGGAAAGCAGTGAATCACATGATAGGCTGGAATTGATATCATCAAACAGTTTTCTAAAAGAATGGGGAAAGCAACGGTATGTCCTCTCTTCTATTTTTCACATTTTTATGACTAGCCTTTACTGAATGTCTCATTCTACCTCATGCAGACCTGTTTTGCATATGATCAGAATAAGACAAGATTCTTTTTTTCTTTACTTATACTGTATACCTAAGTATTGTGTCAGTAAATTTGTCCCATTGGTCAGCAGTAACAGGCAGCTAGCTAAAAAAGCCATCTTCTACTCCAGAGCAAAGGCTACCATAAATCCGGATTTGCAACCCTGTTACTGTGATTACAGTGAAAAGCGTTGTATACATCAAATAAATGAAATAAAAACTGTACCATTGATCTACGATGAGCTAATCAAGCCTTTGATAGATTAATACCTATGATTTGTGAACATGTAGCAGAAAATTAGAAAAGTGATGGTTTAATTTTCAATAATTTTGAAACCAAAAAGTCCTCCAATTCTAGAAAGACCCTTACATTAAATTCGAAATTCGTGAAGATGATGGTATAAGCTAGGCTAACATACTATTTCGAAGAATTAAGGCAATTTGTTGACAACTAAAGTTGTGCACAATCAACCATGTGAACGGCGAAATAAGCCGCGGGATATACTACACGTTAAGTCTTAAAGAACTGTTCAATTATGAACGAAAATACCTTCTTTCGGGCGTGCGTGTTGCCCCGACCATTGTTGGCTTCTCATTTCTGGTAACGAGTGCGCATGCGTCGTTTGCCTCGTTGCTATGGGAACAAAGGATGGTCCACAGCGATTGGCGGACCACGTTACATCCCTCCTACTTCTTATTACAAAAAAACAAAAACAAGTGACATTCGTTCAACTATTTAAGCGACACACTGTAAGTCAGTAGATGACTGACATTTGCGTAACTCGTAACCCCAACCGAAACTCAGATGACCGGTTTGTCACGAATATTTTCCCTTTTGGTGGGCCTACCTGCCACTAATGCGCCTGCGCCATTTGCTTGGTTACTCGGGAGACAAAGGAGGGTCCTCAACGATCCATCCCGCCTTCTTTCTTTTGCAATTGGCTGATAAGAATACGCTACGGCCAGAGAAGAGATTCTATTGGCTCTCACGTTAAAAAAGGGAAAAGTGTTTCATTTGTTGAAAGGTTTGTTTCGGGAAGTCAAACAAACGAGCTGCTTTACTTTGACGACAGTTACCAAAGACGTCACCAGCTGACCTCCATTTGCGTAACTATCGTTTCGAACTATAAAGTTTCACTAGGACGATCAGTTTGTTGCATTTTCGAGGATAAAAAAGTTGGGAGGGGGAGCGAAAAGGAGTCGCGAGCGGCAAAAACGAACGTGTCCGATTACTTCCGGGATTGCTCCGGTTTGGAGATCTTTGAATCACGACACAGTTCCTGGCAAAGCCGCGTAAATGGTATAAAGTTTTGTACAATGGTCTTGTATTCATTATGCACATGCATAAAAATACTGTTTTCTTTGTGTTAATACGAGCTTTTGTGAGTAGTACGTGCACGCGAACTTGAGCTTGTATGAGCGTCAAAATGGAGACGACGTACAAAGTAACGTCAACGTTAATCTATTGCATTTTGTGTGTGTTTCAAGGCGACAGCTTACAGAAAAACAGCCCCGTCCACGAGCCACAAGAAGAAAGCCAGTTCGAAAATCGAGCTGAGCGAGGAGCAGAAGCAGGAAATCAAGGAGGCATTCGACCTATTTGATTCAGATGGCACTGGCAAAATTGATGTCAAAGAGCTCAAGGTATCGTTATGTAATTTTATACCCAATCTTATGCCTGATTTTTCCCCCCGCCTTTCTAAAATATGACTTTTTTTCTGAATATACAATTTTGAGATTGACTTCAATCTAAATGTTCTCTATTACGACTTTATCAAAAGCGTGACTATTCTTGAAAGATTATGACATTAATACGCTATTGGATTTTTGTTTTATTTTTAGAGTAATACCTTCCTAGACTTTTAACAATACCAACTTTGCCAATAATTTTGGTCATGATAATCCTGGTGTTAAATCTTCATAACGTTTCATCTTTTGGTGTTGTGGTGGTGTCAGGTCGCCATGAGAGCACTCGGCTTCGAACCCAAGAAGGAAGAAATCAAGAAGATGATTGCCGACATCGACAAAGAGGGTTCCGGAACCATCGACTACAGTGACTTTCTCAGCATGATGACGCTGAAAATGGTCTGTTCAAGACCCACACGGCAAACAGTTTGTGACAATCGTGTGCAAATATGTGAAATGCTTTCCACCAGGGTGAGAAGGACTCCAGAGAGGAGATCATGAAGGCGTTCAGATTATTCGATGATGACTGCACGGGCAAAATCTCCTTCAAGAATCTGAAGAGAGTGGCCAAGGAGCTGGGAGAGAATCTCACCGATGAGGAACTGCAGGTAACAGAAATCACCCATAACCCACTTTTGGCCTTCTTTGTAAACGTATGTGTCATAATTTCATGTAATGACTACTCAAGACCAGTTGTGATAACCACTTGGGCCCCATTGATAGGCCCTTTTCCTTTTAGGCCAATGCTGTTGTTATATTTGGTTGCAAGAGGATGTGAATGAGAACAATGAAAAATATTTAGATCAAATTCGTCAGTTGAATGTACCTGACCTGGTACGTAATGCTTGCTACATATTGGCCACAAGCTTTTGTTATTTCACCCATATGAAATTAGAAATATGGTCTCTGCTCAGTATACAGAACACTTTTTGCATCAGTCCGTTTCAGATGAGCTCCGAGCTGTTGTTGATAAATGGCTTTTGTTTTGCTTAGTAGAGTGTTAAATTGCACTTATGGCTGTAGTGCCGAACTGTATTTACTGACATTCGTTTTCTGAAGTGTTCTTGAGCCCATGTGGTGTTCTTTACACCAGGGGTGCCCAACCTTTTTTGACTGAAGATTGACTTTTGAAGCAACCGACCTCCCACGATCGACCCGCTACCGCACGTGCACGCATACACATGGGCATGCCATGATGAACAAAACAGAAAAATAAAGTCAATACAAGAGCTTGTGAGTTTGTAAAAAGGAATCAGCGCCTACCTCAGTTGAGACCTGACGCGGCGGAATGGGGCACACTTTGGCAGCGTTATAGGGCAACACCTGTGATCACAATTGCAGACTGCTGACCGCTAACAACGTCCGGTGATGTTGGTCACACACCGCCATAGGTTAAAGGTGACCTACTTTGTTACATAATTTTCTTTTTTAAATACTTTTTTTGTGAAAGCGAAACAGGTTGCTTAGTGCGCGGTGTGCACTAACACAAAAATATACGCACACAGGCACACTTCTTTTTAAAAAAAAAAAAATTTAATCCATTTCCCAGACCCCCGCGGTCGACTTGGGACCAGTTCGCGGGCTACCAGTCGATCGTGATCGACTGTTTGGGCACACCTGCTTTACATGGTGATGTCGGTTTTTGATGCAGTGTGCCACCTGAGGGATGGAAGGTCACGGGCATTCAATGTTGGTTTTCTTGCCGTGATTTCTCCAGATTCTCTGAACATTTTGCAGATATTATGGACCGTAGATGTTGAAATTCCTTGCAATTGTACGTTGAGGTATATTGTTCTGAAACCATTCCACCATTTTCTCATATAGTTGTTCACAAAGAGGTGACCCTCGCCCCATCCTTGCTTGTGAATGACTGAGCAATTCGGGGAAGCTCCCTTTATTAGCCACTCATGGCAGCCTGGCCCAGCTTCTTTAGGATGTGGTGCAGCCATAGAAACCTAAGTTAATGATTATTTGCCAAAAGCAATAAGGTTTATCAGTTTGAACATTAAACTTATTGCTTTTGTTGTGTATTCAATTACCGTAAATTCCGGGCTCCAGACCGCACCTGATTAAGAGCCGCATGCTCAGATTTATGAAGAAAAATCAATTTTGTAATTATATGCGCCGCACCGTACTATAAACCGCTGGCCAATGAGTAGGCGGGGGTTTGCTTCTGCGTCCCTGACGCCTGGAGCGCCTCCGTGTGAGGCCGCTGACGCGGTCCCCCGCTAAACCCCCGCAGAAAAAAAACGCAACATTTCTTAAGGTTAAAATAATCTCCATATTTTTATGCGCATGATAAATGCATTTGACAACGAAATTACGCTGAAACACATAATAAGAGGCCAGACAAAGATCTCGATGCGCATTTGTGTAATTACGAGGAGAAATGCTGCAGCCCATTAGGCTTTAAATAGAATAATGCAGTCACCTTTTTTATTTACAGTCAGAGTGAGAGGCAAATCAAATCAGGTTACATTAACCGACAATTTTCCATCATAGATGGATTTTTTTTCAGAGTGGACGGGGAAAATTTAAGGCTGTCCGTCATTTTGACGGGTTGAAAATAGGGCCGTAAACCGCAACAGCAGTCCATCCTTAAGAATCTAGCGCGGCCCTTTAAGAGAGAGAAGCAGAGACAAAGACGAACAATGACGGGTGGATACTCGACAGAGACTGGAAGGAGTTCTTTGAATTGTCATTGCAAGAGTTAAGTACAGTATGTGTTGTGATGAGGCGACTTCTGTTTTTTTGCGAACCACGGTCTCTCGTGGCCAAAACTATGCACGGCCTCGAAACTAAAAAAAAAAGTCAGCGAGAGAGAAGCCCGACCCGAACCCGAAGCAATGATTGATATTTTAGGGCCCGAATTTCGGGTCGGGTCGCGCTCTGGCTCGGGCGGCCCGATCTTGCCTCTACCTAATAGATCTTACCTCTACCTAATAGACAGGCTTTTCCGTTTCATGAATTTATAACACCACGCCGGCCCACCTTTAAAAGCTTTGGTTGTCTTTTTACACTGGCTCAGTTCTTCTTGCCGGAGCCTCCACCTTCGCACCATCGACTCGTCTATGCCAAGATTACGGGCAGCAGCTCGATTTCCTTCTTTAACTGTCAGAGTGATCGCTTTTAGTTTAAAAGCTGCATCATATGCTTTTCGTCTGGTATTCTCCATGTTGATCAGGGTTAGAAGAAAGACTGAAATAAGGAAGTTGTGATTACCGGTAATCATACAATTTCATTGGACCCCTGTGTACTACTCATTCATTTTATTGGTCGACTGTTGCCAGGTAACACATTTTTCCCTGCTACAGCAAAAAGAGCGGAAGTTGTGATTAGTCATACAATCTCATTGGACCTCAGTGAAAGACTCATTCATTTTATTGGTCCATGTTTTTCCCGCGATGGAAAAAAAAAAATTAAAAAGCCGCTTCATATTACACGCCACAGTTTTGAAAGTGTGGAAAAAAAGTAGCGGCTTGTAATACAGAATTTAGGGTAAATATAGGTTGAACATGATTTGCAAATCATTGTATTCTACTTGTACACAACGTCCTAATGACGGTACAGATTCGGTGGGGCAAAGAAGAGAGACTTTTCGATGAAGGCACCGGGCAAAGGCGTCTGATGCGGCCCGGATTACCGTCAGCGTTCTCCCTTTCTATCCTGTGCTCACTGCGGGGACCCGTAGATAATCGCCAGCGCCGAGAAGTCAACCAAGCATGCTCGCAAGTGCGAGGCTTCACCATCACAATATACTTCTGAAACTGCATTTTTGTTGTTGTTGTTTGGGCTTGGCAGCAAGCAAATCTGGCTCACTTTCAAATCTGGAAATGCATTTTTGGCATGTAAAAAATTCCCATTTGAGTGGCTAACGTCATTACTCTGGTGTGCGTGTGCTTCCGCGTTCAAGTGCGCAGTGGAAAATCGCCAACTGTTCTACTCCCTAACAGCCATAATTTAGACACGCTTCGAAACATGGCGCCGTTGATTTCAGATGAATTGGTCCATACCCCAAAGAGTGCCATCTTCAGTACCAAGCCCTCAGAGCATTTGACCTCTATCACTATTTCACACACAACCTTAAGTCACGGTTTGTTTAAAAGGGGGAAAAAAAAGCAATACGACGTAACAATTTGAGTAACAAGCACCCACATGACGAGGGTTCATGTCCTTAAATGTATTGGGCCCAAAAAAATACATTCTGACCAAAATAACGTCTTTTGAGGGCCCTTAACGCGTCCCAACAATCACTTTGCAAAGTGCTCACCTCAGCTGGCCCTCACAACCACCACCCCGGACAAGAGAAATCAACAAAATGATTCGAAATAATCAAGTGGAACAAAAACGGGCTACTGAGTACATGTGTGGTTTTGCAGGAGATGATCGATGAGGCCGATCGAGACGGCGACGGTGAAGTCAACGAGCAGGAGTTCTTGCGGATAATGAAGAAAACTAACCTTTACTGAGGAAATCCTAACTTTTTTTTTTTTTTTTTTAATAGACTGAGACTCTTACTACTTTTTTCAATTGGTGTGTAAATAAAGACTTCTAAAGTGTTTTTGTTTGCCGGTGTAGTGTATGACTATTGGTTGTCAAGTCAGCAGAAATGGATGAAAGGAGTCATTTGGGGAAAGTGTCACACGCAAAAAGACCGCATTCGTCGTCCTATGGGGAAAAAATTACCGACCAAGTCAACTTTAGGCGCAAACTTCGTCGTCACAAACAGGAAGCTGTTGTGACGATGCTTTTCCAAGCCATATGGCGGCGTTTTTTTTTTTTTAATAAGATTCATTCCACTGCGAAGACAGATGTAGAAAATAAAGTTCTTCAAAGTATTAAAGTATGACACAAGCGCAGCATTAATTACTCTTGAGTTCCCTCAACATGTAACTGTTTCCTCCTCAATGGTAACATAAACCACGACTCGCTACGAGTGATGTAGCAACCAAAATGAGTACGATTTGGTCAAACTGCCGTCTAAAAAGCATGACTGCTAACTTTTTTTTTTTTTGTAAGTACGTTTGTAATGACGAATGGTGCATGCAGAGAACGCTTCTTGTGCATTTTGGCTGCGGTTTACTTGCCTTTGCTGGAAATCCTCCCACTGCTGTGCCCCGATTAAACCACCGTTTCCAAAACCACCCTTTCCTTGCCGGTAATAACTGTCTTAATATTAACTGTAATTCAAAAAGTGGCCAACCTCTTTTCATCCTACGTCCCCCCACCCCAATCCCCCCATAAATGAGGAGCGCTAAATGAGTATGATCTTGTGCCTTGAACAAGCAGCCACTGCAATCAGGTATGTTGCTTGAATTGTTTTTATATTGCTTTTTGATACATAAATACACTTAACATTGTTGAGCATTAGTCCTTTTTGCCACTCATTTATTGTATTCATCCTGGCAACGATATTAGTGATTTTCCTTTTTTTTTTGCATGGAAACTGCACTGAGTCACATGTTTGTAAGTGGCAAATCATTTGTGAAATGGGTAGATTAAAAAAAAAAAATTAAAAATATTGAAACTTTTCACTTGTTAGATAAGGGAAGGAGTTGTGACATTCTTTTTGCACCTGTGAATTTATTTACACTTGTAGGATTATTACGCAAATGTGAATTTTAACTAGTGATCTTTTTAATCAAAATGTAAACATTTCAATACAGCACATATTTACCTATATTACCACCAAAAATTTAAATGAGACAAAATTAAAAAATTGTATTTTGTAATATTATTCTGAAAAACCACCGCAAATTAGACATTTTTGAAAAATCTATCAATTCCTTATTCTCATGCTTAAAAGAAAAAGATTCAAACAAAAGGAAAAAATTCAAACAAAATATCTTTCATGATTCTAAAATATGTGGACAAGAATCTAAATACAATTACTATACTGTAAATATTTTAAATGGCGCAATCCTCAACACTTGTCATGACAAAAAAAAACATTAAAATTACTTTTGAAATATTAAAACGCAAAGAATAAATGTTTCATTGATTTGTATGTTGAATTAAAATGTTTAAGCAAGTTTAAAAATGAATTATAAAAGTATTGCTGTTACAATTAAAATCAATTATTTCCGCCTTAAACTACGAAAATTGTTAAAACTAAGAGTTTAAAAAAAGGTTACCATATTCCCTCACCACAGTTGACATGCTAAAAGCAAAAAAAGTGAAAAAAACCCATATTGAATTTAAAAAAACATTTCTCAAAGGAAAAGTGACATCTTTCAAAAAAGAAAAAAAATACTGTTGATTTGTACAATACGGTCAATTTAAATGTGAAAGCAAGTTAAAAAAAAGGATTTATATCATAAATTAGATAATGAAACAGAAAATAGTTCAAATACATTTGAAATGACTTTTTTTTCTCCTTAACATATGAATCATAACGGCATTTTAAAATCACAACCTATTCTATGACCTCATCACAGTCAAATGTTCAAAAGACTTATTTTCCAACAAAACATTGTATTTGTAATTTCAGACAAGAAATTGCGCTCCCAACTAATTCCTGTGAGAAGTATGACAGTTTTGAAATGAATCAACGCGGTGCATGTAAACAATGCGCTTTGTTACTCCTGAGCAGAGGCGGCCATCCCCCACCCCCGCCCTCTTTACCTGCTTCCTGTACACTTACAATAAGACGGCGCACCCTCGCCTTTCACCGAAAATGGCTCGTCATTTGACCTTCTTGGGTCTCGGTGCAAAAGATGACATCACGTGAAAGGGAAGACACCGGGGTGGACTTGATGGATCAACAAAATAGCGGCCTTTGGGGTGGAGGGGGGGGGGGAATAAACAATTAAACAAGAAGCAGAGGGTTGAGCGGTATGGCTTTAAAAATCATAGAAATGAGAATGGGGATTTACTTTGTTTCTCCTCTGCTGCTGTGGAAGCAATTTCTATGCAGAGCATGGCTCGGGCTGTGGGATGCAATGACAACAATGGCAGGAAAAGCCCGCGCGAATATCTGAACTATATTCAGGTTTTGAAAAAAAAAAAAAAAGCTCTTTAAATGGTTTTAAGATGGAATTTCGACCCAAAAACCAAACCTTTTTCGGGAGCCCATTCTTTCGTACAATTTAGATCAGACTTGAATTCCTTGCTTTTTTTTTTCCATCAAATCAAATAAACAATTCTCATTTACTGGACATTTAGTTGTTACGCTGTAGCCTACCCAAATGGAAAAAGCTGCCAGCAGAAGTGAAGTCAGCCCCAAGTGGCAATGCTTTTCAAGCCAGGTGAAGACCCACACAGGAAGCCCAGAGCCCGGAATCGAACCCTGCACATCTGCACTGTGATGCCGACGTTCTAACCAGCCGATCACCGGCTCGCCCCTGCAGCGTTATCATCCTAAACTCTAAATGGAGTTTTACATCATTGTAACTAACATCGTATAGTTACACATGTTACACATATGTACGGCACATTTGACAATAAAGTTGTATTCAATTCAATAGTGCAATATTGTGTCAAATGTTGCCCCCTCGGCCGCCATTGCAGCCCGGTCTTCCTGCAAGGGGGAGTCTCCCATCTGCGGCCCCTTCTCAAGGTTTCTCATTTTCCCCCCAGATGTGTCTTTTTTGTTTTGTTTTTTCTTGCCCTCCTGGGGGCTAAGGTCAGGGGATGTCGTTACTTTGTGTCAACTGTGGGCCTGTGAACCCCTTTGAAACAGTTTGTGATTAAGGGCTGTATAAGTCAATGTGACTTGAGTTGACTTGAATTGACTTGAGAGACCGATACCTACGCATTGGTGGTAAAAGGACGTCGTGAGAATGCAGGGTGTGTGAGGTGTCACTTGATATCCAGGTACCTTTTTTGAATGACTCTGTTATTGTAAATGTTGTGACTGCTGCTCTTGACCTATACTTTTACTGCAGATTTGAATTGATTTTTTTTTTTAAACAATTTTATTTTCGATGGCCGAGAGTACGTGACTCAAACCAAGTCGATGATATTAAATGTGAGGATGGCTTCAATCAAATATTTATGGAAGGCAGTGAGGATGGATTGGTGAACCTGAAGTTTGCAGCTTACGGAGGAAGAAGAGACGGCGTTGGCGTTTCGAGAAAATAAATTTGCGGTTCAGTTGAAGTGTGTGAGTTTATGGTCAATGACAGAGCCAAGATATGTGTATGAATAAACTTTTTCAGTCGTTTCGTGAGTGACTGTGAGTGAGGGTGGCTGAAGTGGGTGAGAGAGCAAACCTTTGTCAGCCTGTAGCTGGGCCATGGCGAGCCTCTCCAAGGTCTTCATGACCGGGGGAGGTCAGACAAATGGAACCTGCATTTGAAGCCGTTCAGATCTTCAGCCAGATGCGGACACGCACCTCGGCAGTGGATGAGTTGGAGCGGACACCGGCTAGGGTTTTGACGCCCCGCCAAGCATCCCTGGTCTTACTGTCGTTAAAAAGCCTCTCCACCCTGTCCTTAAAAGCCCTTTTTGGACGTTTGAATTCCTTGATTGAATCTCTTTTGAATGAGTTTACTTTCAAGTTCATTTCCTGAATTAAATCCTGTTTTCTTTTTGTCGTTTTCAGAGATTTTGTTATCTAAGGCTTATGATTTATTTATTTTTTTTCGTGAGGGGGGGCCCAACATATCCACATGGATGATGTGACTACGTCAGTAGCCTCCTCTCATGTGTGGCCTTTTGTGAACACCTCCCACATCGTCCAATCAAAACAGCACCGGAGTGACTCCTGCACATCATTATCCCACTGTTGGACCGTCTTCGGAATGACACCCTCTCTCTGTAGTTTGGTTTTGTATGTTGGAACAAGGTGGAAAACGTTGTAGTCCGCTGTACTGAGAGGAGGTTTCTCAGAAGATTTCTATGCACCTCTGACATGGCCAGAGCAGAGGTCGATTGTTTGGGCGTGGTGGCACATGTAACAATCTGGTGATAGGTGGGAAGAGACTTATTTAGTCAGAAGCCATTAAAATCCCCAAGAACGAAAACAGGAGAACATCCATGTATTTTGTCGTGGTAAAAACTCTTAATATTACAAGAAGAAAGTCGTCTTTTTCAAGATAAAGTTGCGAAGTAATTTTCAAGTCAAAGTTTAATGGAAGAAAGAGCATCATATTTTCAAAAGTGGATTTCAGAAAGACAATTTCATTCCTCTAAGAGGAAGATTATGTTTTATCAAAATAAAGAAATAAATCTCTTGTAACAATTATGACTTTTTTTGCTTACATTTATGGGACTTACACATGTAATATGCCTTTTCTTCTTTAAAAAATAAAATACTTGTCCCTTCTATGTACTGTGGGTATACACTTTTTGAAATTATGTTAATTCAGTCCAAGTAATTTTGTGGCCCCAAGATACAGTTGGAGTACTCACACTTCAGAAACGCTGTTAGCGAAAACACACACACACACACACACACACACACACACACACACACACACACACACACACACACACACACACACACAAACACAAAACCAAAACAAGCAAACGTGTGCTCTGCATGAGTGTGGGACGAGAAAATTCTTGTGAAAGTGCCGTTTTTCTGTGATGCGCACGCGAAGGAAAGGGACTCCAGAGCATTTGAGAGGAACTCCCACTCAATTCTTCCCCTTCGTGCTGACTCGGCAAGAGCGCACATCAGAGGGGTTTTCGCTTTCTCTTTTCTCAGTATCTGTCTTGCTTGCTTCCCTTCCTTCTTCCTTCTCTCCTCTGTGACGTTCACACGGACATGTGCTCTGAATTTCCAAAATGAATGGGATGCAGGTTTTACGTAATGCATGTGGCTAAGTCCAATAATGCTTGAAATTCACTTGTATTTGATATAATATGGCTGTGATGGATTATTTGAGAGATTGTGCTGTGTGGTGCGGACAAGGGCTGAACAATTCATCGGATTCAAATCAACATTGCATTGGAGTAGAATGTCATTTTGAGGAAAACAAAAAAAACGGTGCTTTATTTTGGTTAGTCCCGAAGCTACATCTATCTATTTACACACACACACACACACACACACACACACACACACACACACACACACACACACACACACACACACACACACACACAGAGGGTCAGGCAAAATGATCTGACACCTTTGTAGGTTAAATAAAAGGCAAATAAAGTAAAGAAATGAAAAAGTGTTTTTTATTTTCGAAAAGTCCATATGTCATTGAGTTCATTTTAACCCAGATTGAAGTGCAAACGGAACGCTCGATGTGTTGCACTTACAGATTCGTTTGTTTTGATAAACTTGTCCGCAATGAAAGCGCGCGATGCTCACCAGTCCAATTCATGGCAGCAACTGAAAAAGAAACGAAGCAAATGGCTTTGTATGAAAAAAATGGCATTATATGTACTTTTCGAAAATAAAAACACTTTTTTGTTTCTTTACTTTATTCGCCTTTTATTTAACCTACAAAAATGT